GCTATTTTGCATCCTCATAACATATCATTTACATGTTTTAAATAATGACGAGTGACCATAATAATAATAAACAACATATCTGCTTCCTTTGATAGGTTATAAGTTTCAGAGGTTTGCTATAAGAAAGCAATACAATAATAAATGCACATTTAGTATTATCCTAAACCAGCATATTGTAACAAGAAGTCTTTCAATAATATGTAAACATGATCTCCACCTGACACACATGCATAATAATAGAAAACGTGAAAAGACATTAGTTAAACAACATTAAGTGGCGCAGACATTGTGAAACAGTGAGTTGAGCTGCCATTTGCGATGCCTGCATCTCATATTGGAGTTCAAATCCCTGCTGCTCTGCTTCAGATCCAGCTTCCTGTTAATGCACCTGGGCAGGTCGATGGTGGCAGCCCAACGACCTGGGCCCTTGCCACTTACATGGGAGACTCTGATGAAGTTCTGGGCTCCTGGCTTTGTCCTGGCCCAACCCTGGGGGTTGCAGGCATTTAGGAACCAAACCAGCAGATAAATAATCTCTTTCTCTGCCTCTCCTTCTCTCTGCCCTTCAAATAAATCAGCAAATAAACGTTTATTAAAAAGCAACACAAAATAAATGCCTTTTTTTTTTTTTTTTTTGACAGGCAGAGTGGACAATGAGAGAGAGAGACAGAGAGAGAAAGGTCTTCCTTTGCCGTTGGTTCACCCTCCAATGGCTGCCGCTGCAGCCGGCGCACCGCGCTGATCCGATGGCAGGAGCCAGGATCCAGGTGCTTTTCCTGGTCTCCCATGGGGTGCAGGGCCCAAGCACCTGGGCCATCCTCCACTGCACTCCCTGGCCATAGCAGAGAGCTGGCCTGGAAGAGGGGCAACCGGGACAGAATCCGGCGCCCCAACCGGGACTAGAACCCGGTGTGCCAGCGCCGCAAGGTGGAGGATTAGCCTATTGAGCCACGGCGCCGGCTACCATTTTAAAAATTGAAAGGAAGAGGCCGGCGCCGCGGCTCACTAGGCTAATCCTCCACCTAGCAGCGCTGTCACACTGGGTTCTAGTCCCGGTTGGGGCGCCGGATTCTGTCCCGGTTGCCCCTCTTCCAGGCCAGCTCTCTGCTGTGGCCAGGGAGTGCAGTGGAGGATGGCCCAAGTGCTTGGGCCCTGCACCCCATGGGAGACCAGGAGAAGCACCTGGCTCCTGGCTTCAGATCAGCGCGGTGCGCTGGCCGCAGCACGCCAGCCGCGGTGGCCATTGGAGGCGTATCCGATGGGCATAAAGAAGACCTTTATCTGTGTGTTCCTCTCTCACTGTCCACTCTGCCTGTCAAAAAAAAATTGAAAGGGCCGGCGCCGCGGCTCACTAGGCTAATCCTCCGCCTAGCGGCGCCGGCACACCAGGTTCTAGTCCCGGTCGGGGCGCCGGATTCTGTCCCGGTTGCCCCTCTTCCAGGCCAGCCCTCTGCTGTGGCCAGGGAGTGCAGTGGAGGATGGCCCAGGTGCTTGGGCCCTGCACCCCATGGGAGACCAGGAAAAGCACCTGGATCCTGGCTCCTGCCATCGGATCAGCGCGGTGCGCCGGCTGCAGCGGCGGCCATTGGAGGGTGAACCAACGGCAAAGGAAGACCTTTCTCTCTGTCTCTCTCTCTCACTGTCCACTCTGCCTGTCAAAAAAAAAAAAAAATTGAAAGGAAGTGCTACAAATATTAAGTATTTAAAAGTTAGTATTCTTGGTGCCGATGCTGTGGCACAGTGGGTTAACGCCCTGGCCTGCAGTGCTGGCATCCCATATGCGTGCCGGTTCTAGTCCCAGCTGCTTCACTTCCAATCCAGCTCTCTGCTATGGCCTGGGAAAGCAGTAGAAAATGGCCCAAGTCCTGGGCCCCTGCACCCATGTGGGAGACCCATAAGAGGCTCCTGGCTCCTGGCTTCGGATCGGCGCAGCTCCGGCCGTTGCGGCCATCTGGGGAGTGAACCAGCGAATGGAAGACCTCTCTCTCTGTCTCTACCTCTCTCTGTAACTCTTTCAAATAAATAAAATAAATTTTTTTAAAGTTAGTATTATTTTTCAGAAAAAGGTGTTTTGTTTATTTGTAAGGTGGACTGACAGAGAGAAAGGAAAAGACAAGGAGAAATATCTTCCATACTCTGGTTCTGTCTCCAAATGGCTGCAACAGCCAAGGCTGGGCCAGGTGAAAGCCAGAAACTCCATCTGAGTCTCCAGACCCAAGTACCTGGGCCATCTTCCACTGCCTTCCTAGGTGACTTAGCAGGAAACTGTACTGGAAGCACAGTAGCTTCTTAGTATTCGTCATCTTTGTTTCGTGACAACTATTCCAGATATAAAAGAAAACTCTTGGGGCCAATGTAGTGGCATAGAAGGTAAAGCCATTGCCTACAACACCAGCATCCCATATTGGCAGTTCGAGTCCCAGCTGCTCCACTTCCGATCCAGCTCTCTGCTATGGCCTAGGAAAGCAGTAGAAGATGGCTCAAGTCCTTGGGCCCCTGCACCCACGTGGGAGACCTGGAAGAAGCTCCTGGCTCCTGACTCTGGCCTGGCCCAGTCCTGGCTGTTGCAGCCGTTTCTGTCTCCTTCTCTCTATGTAAAAGACTCTCTCTCTCTCTCTCTCTCTCTCTCTCTGTCTCTCCCTAGTCTTTCTCAGTTAGAATAATTTAGAAAAAAATAAAAAATGAATGTAAGAGTACACGTTGTCTCAAATGAGCTCACTGCCTTTTTTATTATTATTATTTATTTATGGAGCCAGCACTGTAGCATAGTGGGTAAAGCCGTGGCCTGCAGTGCCAGCATCCCATATGGATGCCAGTTCGAGTCCCGGCTACTCCATTTCCAATCCAACTGCCTGCTATTGTGCCTGGGAAAGCAGCAGAGGATGACCCAGCTCCCTGAGCCCCTGCATCCATGTGGGAGACCCAGATGAAGCTCCTGGCTCCTGGCTTCAGCCTGGCCGGGCTTCAGCCATTGCAGCCATTTGGGGAGTGAACCAGCAGATGAGAGACTTCTCTGCCTCTGCCTCTCCTTCTCTGTAACTCTGAATTTCAAATAAATAAATAAATATTTTTTAAAAATTATGTATTTATTTGTTTGAAAAGAGTGACCGAGACATAGAGAGAGATCGTCCATCCCCTGGTTCACTCCCCAAATGGCTGCAATAGCTAGGACTTGGCCAGGCAGGAGCCTAGAAGTCAGTTTGGCTTCCACGTGGGTGACAGGGGCCCAAGCGTGTGGACCATCATCGGCTGCCTCCCCAGTGCATTAGCGGGGAGGTGGATCAGAAGCAGAGCAACTGGGATTCAAACCACTGCTCCTATACAGGGTGCCAGCGTCCCCAGCGTGGGTTTAACCTGCAGAGCTGCAGCACCATCTCTGCCTCCCCCCCACCTTTTTAACTAGAAACAGCCCCTTATTTTAAGTTTTTATTTCATTATTATTTTTTAAATTTACTTGAAAGGCAGAGAGACATGGAGAGAAAGACAGACAGACAGAAGGAGAGATCTATTTGCAGATTTACTCCCTAAATGGTCACAACAGCCAAGGCTGGACCAAGCCTAAGCCAAGTCTGGAACTCAACCCAGGTCTCTCGTGTGGGTGGCAGTGGCCCAAGCACGGCAGCCGTCACCTGCTGCCTCCCAGGTGTGCATTAGCAGGAAGGTAGAATGGCAGCCAGGACTTGAACCCAGGTACTTTGATATGAGATTTGGGTGCCCCAAAAGCAGCTTGACCACTGAGCCCAGTGCTTGCCCCCAAGGTCATTTCCTGTTGTAATGCTTGCCCTCATTTTGTTTTACTATTGAAATTTGTATTACTTTTGCAAATTCAAATTTTACATCAGCTTCTGCTTTCACTCAGTTTGCTTTAGAGCAGCATTTACAAATGACTGTAACTCAGCAAATATTTAAACACTAAAAAAAAAAAAAACTCAATGCACTTAATACTTAAATAAGTAGTATTCAAATAACATAATATTCCTGTCACTATACAGAATCCCAGATTGATATTACAGATTTAGGGGCCAGTGATGTGGTGCAACGGGTAGGGCCACCGCCTGTAGGGCCAGCATCCCATTTGGGTGCTGGTTCGAGTCCTGGCTGCTCCACTTCCAATCCAGCTCTCTGCTGTGGCCTGGGAAAGCAGTGGAAGATGGCCCAAGTCCTTGGGCCCCTTCACCCACGTGGGAGACCCAGAAGAAGCTCCCAGCTGGCTCCTGGTTTCTGATCGGCGCAGCTCTGGCCATTGCAGCCATTTGGGGAGTGAATCATCATATGAAAGACCTCTCTCTCTCTCTGTGTCTCCCTCTCTCTGTCTATAACTCTGCCTCTGAAATAAATAAATAAATAAATAAATAAATAGAAATTACGATTTAAGAACTTACTTTGCCTCCCAAGCCTGTTATGTCTTTGTTGACCACTCAACGGATTTATACAAAGTCAACTGTGCCTATGAAGTCACTACTAGTTTATCTGCAAAAATACTTGCCTTTAGCCACAGACAGGTCACAGATACAGAGCACTGAGCTGACAGGGAAGGAACACTGACATGGGTGGGCTCACGCTACGCTCTGGCTAGCTACACCCCGTGAATCGATTCGACAGTCCCAAGGCAGACTTTGTCAACGCAGGGACAAGTCCGCACAGCGCGCAGATGAGCACCAGCAACTCAGAGGGAAACGAGCGTGGATAGTGGGGGTGGGTGAGGACGGAGAAAGCAGGGAGCCTCCAGGCTGAAGAGGCGTGGTTTTCTGCATGGGGAAAGTGAAAGGGTGGGGGTGCCGTGGTGAGCCCGGCCCACCTAGAAACATGGGTGGGATTTCACCAGCCCTTGCTTGGCTGAGTTTCTGTTGTCACTGGAAAGCCGGTGGGACTTTCTCCTCCGAGGCCAGCCAGGCCTATGTGACAACGACTTCCGCTTCTCCCCTGGAGGCCACAGCTCACAGCTGCCGTGGGCCGCCTTGGGGCCACGGGGTCTCCGTGCGCGTGGACCGGGGCCTCACCGGGTCTCAGCTGTCCTCAGCTTCAGGCCTGGCTCTTTCTCTTCCGTGTTCTCTGCTCTGATCCTCGAGTGGGCCAAGGCTTCCCGTGAGCCAGCTGCTCAGTGAAGTCCCTCCGTGGCTGACGTGGTTTGCGCTGACGTCGTGCCCACAGTTTAAGGTCACGCTCTCCTCGTGCCTGTGATTGCTGGAATTGCCAAATCCTTTTTTGTCTGGCTCCTGGTTTCATGTAGAGGCAGCTTCTCTACCCACATGCTCATCCAAGTGTAGCAGTCCGTCCACGCGATAGGTTACTCCACAGCCTGTGTGAAGAGTGAGGTAGATTTACTCACACACTGATATGGTAAACTCCATCGATACATAGATATGACCAATCTGGTAAACTCCGTGTGTGTGTGTGTGTAATTGATTATTTGAAAGGCAGAGCATCAGAGGGAGAGACAGCAAAGACAGAGACAAAAAAAAGATCATCCACCCAAGGGTTCACTCCCAAGTGGCTGCAATGGGCAGGGCTGGGCAAGGCTGAAGCCAGGAGCCTGGAACTCCATCCAGGTCTCCCACATGGGGGCAGGGCCCAAGAGCTCAGGTCATCTCCTGCTGCTTTCCCAGGCTCTTTACCAGGAAGCTGGATCAGAAGCAGAGCAGGCAGAACCTGAACTGGTCTCTGATATGGGATGCTGGCATCGCAAGCAGTGGCTTAACCCACATCACCAGAATGCCAGATATGTTATTAGGTTAAAAAAGGCAATGAATAATGTCTGCAGTACTATGAGTGTGTGTCTCTTCATAATTGCGTAGAAATCATGCTGAAAGGATATACATTAAACTTTTTAAAAATATCTATTTATTTGAAAGTCAAAATTACTGAAAGAGAGGGAAAGACACAAAGAGAGCTTCCATCTGCTGGTCCAGATGGCTGCAATGGCCAGAGCTGGGCCAGGCAGAAGCCAGGAGCCAGGAATTCTATCCAGGTCTCCCACGTGGGTGGCAGGGGCCCAAGGACTTGGGCCATCTTCCACTGCTTTCCCAGGCCACAGCAGAGAGCTGGATCAGAAGTGGAGCAGCCAGAACTTGAACTGGAGCCCATATGAGATGTGGCGATTTTACCTGCTACAACACAACACTAACCTCCCCACCACCACCACCACCATTAAACTCCTGACTCCAGTTGGAGCATGTATATGGCAGGAAAGAAATGATAATTTCAGGGGCCAGCGCTGTGGCGCAGCAGGTTAACCCCTGGCCTAAAGCGTCGGCGTCCCATATGGGCGCCGGTTCTAGTCCCGACTACTCCACTTCCAATCCAGCTCTCTGCTATGGCCTGGGAAAGCAGTAAGAAGATGACCCAAGTACTTGGGCCCCTGCACCCACATGGGAGACCTGGATGGAGTTCCTGGCTCCTGGCTTCTGCCTGGCCCAGCTCTGGCCGTTGCAGCCTATTGGAGAGTGAACCATCGGATGGAAGACTTCTCTCTCTCTCTCTCTCTTTCTCTGCTTCTCTTCTCTCTGTATAACTCTGACTTTCAAATAAATAAATAAATTTTTTAAAAAAAGAAATGATAATTTCATTTTTTATTTTATTCTAAATTATTCTAATTTATATATGCTAGGTTTTAAACTTTTTTTAGATTTATATATTTACTTGAAAGACAGAGTTTACATAGAGAGAAGGAGACAGAGAGAGAGAGTGAGAGTGAGAGAGGTCTTTCATCGGCTGGTTCACTCCCCAGAGGGCAGCAACAGCTGGAGCTGTGCAGAGTAAAAGGAGCAGAGTGAACTTTAAAGGGTAACAAAGCCAGCAGGAAAGGCCCCCAGCAGAGGCAGTCTCAAGGGCCTCTTTTAGTATCTGCCTTATTATCACAAAAAACGCCAGGGGCAGGCATGCGGCATAGCCCTGGACTGGGATACCCGGCATCCCACACGGGAGCGCCTGGGCTTGGCTCCCAGCTCTGCGTCTGACTCCAGCTTCCTGCCGGTGCAGGCCCTCGAGGCAGCGGTGGCGGCTCCTGCAGTTGGGTCCCTGCCACCCACAGGAGACCTGCATGGAGTTCCCAGTTCCCAGCTGCAGCAGGGTGCAGCCCTGAGCATGGGGAGTGACCCAGTGGATGGGATTCCGCCCCCCCCCCGCCTTTAAAATAAACAATTCTTTTCTTTTTTCTTTTTTTTTTTTTTTTGACAGGCAGAGTGGACAGTGAGAGAGAGAGACAGAGAGAGAGGTCTTCCTTTGCCGTTGGTTCACCCTCCAATGGCCGCCGCGGCCAGCGCGCTGCGACCGGCGCACCACGCTGATCCGATGGCAGGAGCCAGGAGCCAGGTGCTTTTCCTGGTCTCCCATGGGGTGCAGGGCCCAAGCACCTGGGCCATCCTCCACTGCACTCCCTGGCCACAGCAGAGAGCTGGCCTGGAAGAGGGGCAACTGGGACAGAATCCGGCGCCCCGACTGGGACTAGAACCCGGTGTGCTGGCGCCGCAAGGCGGAGGATTAGCCTAGTGAGCCGCGGCGCCGGCCCAACCCCTCTTCCAGGCCAGCTCTCTGCTGTGGCCAGGGAGTGCAGTGGAGGATGGCCCAGGTGCTTGGGTCCTGCACCCCATGGGAGACCAGGAGAAGCACTTGGCTCCTGCCTTCAGATCAGCGCGATGTGCCCGCTGCGGCGGCCTTGAAGGGTGAACCAACGGCAAAAGGAAGACCTTTCTCTCTGTCTCTCTCTCTCACTGTCCACTCTGCCTGTCAAAAAATAAAAATAAAAAAAAATAATTTCAAAACAGGGACGGGCACTGTGGCGCAGCAAGCTACGCCACAGCTTGCAGCAAGGCAACCCACATTGGAGCGCCTGTTGGAGTCCCGGCTGCCCTAGCTAATGCACTTGGGAACAGTGGAGGATGATACAGGCACCTGGGCCCCTGCCACCCAGGTGGGAGACCCAGACAGAGTTCCAGGCTCTTAGCTTCAGCCTGGCCCAGTCCTGGTCATTGTGGCTGTTTGGGGAGTAAACCAGAAAACAGAGAATCTCTCTGCCTCCGTCACTATATCACATTGCCTTTCAGATAGACAGATAAATAAATAAACATATAAATAAATAAATAAATAACACAAAAAATTGAACCATAAAGAAAAGTTAAACCATCTGCAGACCCATCACTTAGATTCAACAATTATTGATATTGGTCAAGTCACTTAATTTGTAACACAAATAAATGAATGCTAAACCATTTGAAAGTTCACCCCTAAGTATTTAAGGACTTAACTCCTCAGAATGATGTTCTCTTTTTAGAAAAAAAATTTTTATTTATTTACTTGAAAGGTAGAATTACAGACAGTGAGAGGGAGAGACAGAGAGAGAGGTCTTCCATCTGCTGATTTACTCCCCCAGCTGGCCGCAATGGCTGGAGCTGCACTGATCTGAAGCCAAGAGCCAGGAGCTTCTTCCTGGTCTCTCACACGGGTGCAGGGGCCCAAGGACTTGGGCCATCTTCCACTGCTTTCCCAGGCCATAAGAGAGAGCAGGATCGGAAGAGAAACAGCCAGGACTACAGCCAGTGCCCATATGGGATGCTGGCACTGTAGGCGGCTTAGCCCACTACGCCACAGCGCTGGCCCCAGAATGACATTCTCTTACATAGCCGCACTGTTATTATCAAACACAAAAGTCAACATTAATTTCTTTTAATTACCTAATGTGGAAAATGATCCCCTATCCCTAGTGCATTTAACCCAGACTCTCAAGCCCTATTCTCTCCTTAGCTTGCAGTTCCTCAGGATCCCCCATGATGGCTACAAGTCAGCTCCTTGCTGAAGAGTAACTCGCTAAATTAGGCAGTGGTGCAAGGGTCCAGGGAGCCCCACAAGGCCAGCGCTGTGGTATAGCAAGTTAAACCACTGCCTGTGGCGCTGCAGCCCCCATGGATGCTGGTTCAAGTCCCACTGCTCCATTTCCCATCCAGTTTCCTGCTCCTGCGCCTGGGAAAGCAGTGGAGGATGGCCCAAGTGCTTGGGCCCCTGCTCCCGTGTGGGAGACCTGGAGCTCCCGGCTCCTGGCTTTGGCCTGGCCCAGCCTCAGCCATTGAGGCAGTTTGAGGAGTCAACCAGCAGATCTAAGATCTATCTCTATCTTGACTCGGTCTCTCTCTCCGTAACTCTGCCTTTCAAATAAATAAATCTTTTTTTTTTTTTTTTTTTTTTTTTTTTTTTTTTGACAGGCAGAGTGGACAGTGAGAGAGAGAGACAGAGAGAAAGGTCTTCCTTTGCCGTTGGTTCACCCTCCAATGGCCGCCGCGGCCGGTGCGCTGCGGCTGGTGCACCGCACTGATCCGATGGCAGGAGCCAGGAGCCAGGTGCTTCTCCTGGTCTCCCATGGGGTGCAGGGCCCAAGCACCTGGGCCATCCTCCACTGCACTCCCTGGCCACAGCAGAGAGCTGGCCTGGAAGAGGGGCAACCGGGACAGAATCCGGTGCCCCGACTGGGACTAGAACCCGGTGTGCCGGCACCGCAAGGCGGAGGATTAGCCTAGTGAGCCGCGGCACCAGCCTCAATTAAATAAATCTTAAAACAAAACAAAACAGTGGGTGCCTCAAGACCCCAGATTTCAAGATGCATAATTCAGTTTTCTCCTCTGTAGTCCACGCCCCACACTGGACTCCATATTGCGATGCTTCACAAGAACCCCAGACCCTGATCCAAGTCACGATGACACAGACCACAGTACACTCGGCACACCCCTCACAGCGCTCTCAGAAGAGCACACCAGCCTCCTGTCACTGATAGCAGAGGACGGCCACGAGCAGATGGACAAGAGACCACACACTGCTCCTTCCCAGCTTTCGTCTCTAAGAGCAGCCACTCAGGGCCCACACTGTGGCGCAGTGGGTTAAGCCGCTGCCTGTGACTTTTTTTTTTTTTTTTTTTTTTTTTTTTTGACAGGCAGAGTGGACAGTGAGAGAGAGAGACAGAGAGAAAGGTCTTCCTTTGCCGTTGGTTCACCCTCCAATGGCCGCCACGGCCGGCGCGCTGCGGCTGGCGCACCGCACTGATCCGAAGGCAGGAGCCAGGTGCTTCTCCTGGTCTCCCATGGGGTGCAGGGCCCAAGCACTTGGGCCATCCTCCACTGCACTCCCTGGCCACAGCAGAGAGCTGGCCTGGAAGAGGGGCAACCGGGACAGAATCCGGTGCCCCAACCGGGACTAGAACCTGGTGTGCCGGCGCCGCTAGGCGGAGGATTAGCCTAGTGAGCCGCGGCACCGGCCTTGTGACTTTTTTTTAAGATTTATTTATTTTTTGAAAGGCAGTCACAGAGAGGCAGAGGCAGAGAGAGAGAGAGAGGTCTTCCATCTGCTGGTTCACTCCCCAGATGGCCATCTGATCCGAAGCCAGGAGCCAAGAAGCTTCTTCCACGTCTCCCACGAGGGTGCAGGAGCCCAAGGACTTGGGCCATCTTCCACGGCTTTCCCAGGCCATAGCAGAGAGCTGGACGGGAAGTGGAGCAGCCGGGTCTCAAACCGGCACTCATTTGGGATGCCGGCACTGCAGGCGGTGGTTTTACCTGCTACACCACAGCGGCAGCCTCAGTAAATAAATCTTAAAAATGAGACTCGCCACTGCTCCTGCCTCCAGGAGCCTGGGAATGGGTGACAGCCGCCTGACTCCTTGTCCTCGTCCTGGCTGTGAGGAAATCCCCCCACCCCCATCTCAGTGTCCGTGATTGGCTCGCTGTGCATTAGACAGTAGAACAATTCTACAGCAACAGCTAGTCCGAATAAAAGTCATCTCCAGTTCCCTAAAATGCCCTTTTTAAACAAAAATCAGATGGGTAATGTGCCAAGGTGAGGGAGACACATCTCGTAGGAGAACGTGAAAACCCCAGTCACCACCCATGCTTCTGTACCACAAAAGAATCCCAAAAGGTCTTCAAAGGGTTGTTGTTCTCACAATTCAGGATGCAACCCAGGTCACACGCTGTGCCTTAGTGTGGTTTGTGTTATGTGATCTTGATTGAGTTGAGCCTGTGTTTCCCGGAACCCCTTCCTCTGAACGGTTTCGGGTCAGAATTGAGCAAACGAAGCATTTGCATGCGATTTGGAAGGCAGAAATGAAGCAGCGAGCCACATTCCCTGAAGGTCCCTGTGGGCAGATGTGGCGACCAAAATGTCAGTGAGCTCCAGCTTGTCCTCGCTTTGCTCTGATCATGTCCACTGCCGAGTCCCCGCGCTTCCAGACCCACGGAGGTGGCGGCCACACAGACCCCCAGCAAACCCTCCCGTCACAGCCTCTGGGGAGCTGCGATGCCCGCGTGGGAGGCTCCTCCTGCTCCTCTGACTGTTGTCCGGGTCCTCCACCTCTGCGGTTCCTTCCACAGCCTGTAACACATTCCGTATCTCGCCGTAGAGTGGCTCTCATTCCCGGCCAGCAGGATTACTGGTACTGGCAATGGTTTCAGGGACAGACTCCTGCGGAGTGGAATCTGGAACTTTCTGAACTCTGGGCTTCATGTCCCCACCTCAGGTCTGGGAAAGGGACCGAAATGCCTGCAAAGAAACGCTTCCCTTCTGTAGCTTCAGGGGCAAGATTCTGATAACCAGACCTAAACCTCCCCCTGCAGAGGGTTGACTGCCGATGTGAATTGAATCCGAAACCCAGCCGGGTCTCGTATGTCAAAAATAAGACAATGATTGGAAAAGCGTGAGACTTGGAATTTTAGGATGGGAACGTGTGGTTGGATTCCAAAGACGCCAAAGACCAACAACCCTGAATCCAGCTGAGCTTCCCTCAGCAAAAAATGTGACCCTTCCTCTCCATCTGAAGTTAATTTTCCCTTACCTGAACAACAAGCATGGGCCTCCCTGGAGGAGGTGGCCTTGCAGCTCTCTGCTGGTCGTCCCCCTAGGAACTAACCCTACCGCCTCTTCTGGATCTGAGACTAGATTCAAGCCACTGCAGGCCGCCGCGTGACCGGTGAGGAAATACAGGGTTTGCCAGGAGAATGCTTAGAGTCTTCAGTTCACACGTTGTTTCACTTTTTGTTCTGACATAATTTCATACTTAACAAAGGTACACAAGCAGCACAAATAATCCTCTTGACTTTTTTTTTGAAGATTGATTTGTTTATTTGAAAGGAAGAGCAGCAGAGGGAGGAGAGAGAAAGAGAGGGAGAGAGAGAGAAAGAGAGAAAGGGAGAGGGAGAGAGAGAGAGAGAGAGAGGAGGGAGAGAGAGAGGGAAAGAGAGATCTTCCATCTTCTGGTTCATGCTTCAGATGGCTTCAACAACCGGTCCTCAGTCAAAGTCAGGAACCTGGAACTCCATCTGGGTCTCCCCCAGGGGCGGCAGGGGCCTAAGCCCTTGGGCCATTTTCCACTGTCTTCCCAGGTGCATTAGCAGGGAGCTGGGAGCTGGATGGGAAGTGGAGCGGCCGGGACTTGAACCTGGGCTCACATAGGATGCTGGCATCACAGGCAGCGGCTTGACTGGCTGTTTCACCAGGCTGGCCCATCCTCTTTACTTTTTATCGAGATTCCTCCAATAGGGGCCAGTGTTGCCGTGCAGCGTACGAAGCCGCCACTTAGAATGTTAGCATCCCACATCAGAGTGCCAATGCAAGTCTGAGCTCCTAGCTTCCAACTGAGCTCACTGCTCACTGCCTGAGAAGGCACCAGAAGATGGCCCAAGTGCTTGGCCACCCGTATGTGGGAGACCAGGATGGAGTTCCTGGCTCTTGGCTTGGGCCTGGCCCAGACCTGGCTGTTGCAGCTATTTGGGGAGCGAACGAATGGGTGGAAGATATCTCAATCTCTCTCTTTCTCTCTCTCTCTCTCTCTCTCTCTCTCTCTCTCTCTCTCTCGTTCTGCCTTTCAAATAAATAAATCTTAAAAAAAAAAAAAGTGGGTCCGGCGCTGTGGCATAGTGGGTAAAGCCGCCGCCTGCAGTGCGGGCATCCCATATGGGCACCGGTTTGTGTCCCAGATGCTCCACATCCAATCTAGCTCTCTGCTATGGCCTGGGAAAGCAGTGGGAAATGGCCCAAGTCCTTGGGCCCCAGCACCCATGTGGGAGACACAGAGGAAGCTCCTGGCTCCTGGCTTCGGATCGGCACAGCTCCAGCCGTTGAGTCTGTGTAACTCTGACTTTCAAAATAAATCTTTAAAAAAAAAAAAAAGTATTCCTCAAATGCCAGTTATGTTGAAGGAAGCCTGGGGAATGGATCTTAAAGTATTGGATCGGGAGAGGAAGAATAGAATTTTGGATCTGGCTGGATCTATTGAAGTGGGTGCTGTATTCTGACTTCTGCTCTAAACATCAGGATGTGTTGACTTTCTGGGCCTGCCCCTTCCTGGGCTAGCCCCTTCTCCCAGGCAGCAAAGAGCCCTGCCCTTCATCCGCAAACAACGCAGGGCCAGGCCTCCTCGTGGCTCCCACACCCTAGCAGGCCAGGCTCCTCTGCCCCATCCCAGGCCAGGTTCCAGACTAGGAACCAGCCCAAACCACCACAATCATTCAAACCAGCCTGCCCTGCCCCGTCCTGCCCTGCCTTGCCCACTGAAGCGCCTCTGGAGGCAGCAGCATACAGCTACCCCTCCACCCTGCCTTCCGCCTCCTCCCGCGTTCCCGGTGGCCTGGCCTGCCTCCTGCTTCTCAGACCCGAGATGGTAATAAACTTGGCTTTCCTGAGCTTCTCCTCTGCCTCCTCTCGCGGCCATACCTGGCTGGCCATCTGCTAAAAGGAGGTAAAAGAGGAACACTAGCAGATTCTGGAGTTCATACAGGAAGAGCTCTCGCAGTTCGTTTACCATTAAACTCCCTGGTGGTTTCACTGATTGAAGCTGGGGTGTTTGAGCTCCACACAGCAAAGAGGGAAGTACCCAGGATGTGGATGGAGTAGACTTCACAGTGGAAGCCTCGCTAACTGTATTCCTGGGGAGGGCCCAGAAGACACGCGTGGGTGAGAGGCGCGCCAGCATTTTAAAGAGCTCCATAGCGGTTATTCTTTGAAGGGAAGTCGTGGAAGCAAGAAATGCAGCCACCAAATGGGTCCTGGAATTCACGCAAAGTGAATGATGAGCTATCCGGATGTCGGGAGCCAACTGGAGGCGCTCGGACACCGACTGCGTTTGTGTAGCTGCGGCAATGCGCAGCAGAGCCGAAGCAGGAATCAAAGCGGTCTCGCGTGGGTGGTGGCTGGTAACATCCCCGGGACACAAGCGAACAGGCAGCCGCCTGGAGACCTGCTGGATTTGAGCAAATGGAGAGGCTCTGGTGTGGTGAGCAGAAGTCTGGCTTCTGACTGTAGGGAGTCGGAGCCCTTTGGCCAATTCTTCAGTTGGAGACCTATTCACAGACCTCTCCCCTTGAAGAAAGGGCTGAGGCCTGCTATATATCCAGAGTGTTACGGTGAATCTCCCTCCCAGTGTGGCCCCACAGAGACATTGTACAGGGTGACGAAGCACCGAGAAGAGAGAACCTTGAACCCAGACTCTGAACGGCTGTGTTCTGTCATCCGCGCGTGGGCTTCCGGGGTCAGACACCTACGGAGCTGCGGCCCGGCTCAGCGTCCCCAGAACCCAGCCCACATTACTGCCCCAGCGCCCGTGGATGCAGACCGAAGCTTCCACGTACTCAGCACACTCGTTCTCTGACCCATGGAATGAAGGCTAACGTGACAGAAAGGGACGAGTGGAAGCCTCTAGAACTGTGTCTATGCAGCACAAAAGCAGACGGCAGGCAGTATCCCATCCCGAGAGGACTGACGAGGTGAGTGCCACCAACAAGGTCTTGAAGGGCACAGAGGCAGTGACCTCCACCATACTATCCCCTGAGAGCCTGCCTGCTGGCACTCATGGGCCTTGGAGAATGGCAATGGCTTATCTGAAACGTGGTGACCCCAAATGCAGCTGCCATCCTGGGTATGATTTGTTTGCTAAAGCAAGCCCACACACCCCATGTCACTTAGTCTGTAGCTAACACGGTGAGAGCTTTTAGTTCCATACCTTTTAGGAAAGACTGCCAGACCTGGTTGTCCTTTAGCTGGCTGGGCCTCACCCATACACCTGCACTGCACTCCCCTGGGGCTCCATCAACTCTCTGGTCTCTGACACAACCTAGTCGGCATTGAACGTGGACCAGGAATGCAGGCTGGCATGCTCGTTGGCAGACTGTCCAGTTCCTCACCACAGGTGTCTACCTCCGGCCACCTGAGTGCCCTCAACGGGGTGACGGTTTTCCCCCAGGGCAGCCTCAGGGAGAGCAAGGTGGAAGCTACAGTATCTTTTGTGATGCAGTCTCGACATCACACACTGTCGCTTCAACTGTACCTACTGGTCACCCAGGTAGGGCCCACCTAAGGGAGTAGCTACCAAGAGGCAAGGAAGAGTGGGAACCAACCTGGAGACTGACTACCACGGTCATGGAAGTTAGGAAAGTTCTTCGTCCCAGTCACTTAACTTTCCAAGATTGTGGTTTTTTCAACCCAAGCATTTATGTTTTAAAATGCTATGCAATGCAAACAGCAGCATTAACATTGCCCTTGTGTGGATGAAGACTTAGACCAGAAGACACGGGTTCCTGCAGCCAATGCTTGAGCAGTTTTTTCTCTTAACATCTTTGGACCTTAGCTTCCATGCTCCTAAAATAAAGAAGATTCCTTCCCCTCCTTCCTCTCCCAAGGAGGTTTCTGAAAGTGTTTTTAGTTAATTAAAAATTCAATCCTTGGTGGGGCTGGCATTGTGGTGTAGCAGGGAAAGTCCCTGCCTGAGCTGCAGGTATCCCACATGGGCACCAGTTCTTGTCACATGGGAGACCCAGGTAAAGCTCCTGGCTCCTGGCTTTGGCCTGGCCCAGCCCTGGCCGTGCGGCCACCTAGGGAGTGAACAGAAAATGGAAGATTCTCTCTCTCTCTCTCTCTCTTTGTAACTCTTTCAAATAAATACTTTTTAAACAGAAGTTTATATTTGGGCCAGGCATTGTGGCACAGCAGGATAGACCACTGTTGGGATGCCCGCTTCCCATATCAGAGCGCCCGTTTGAGTCTCCTGTGCTCCACTTCTGATCCAGCGTCCTGCCAGTGCATCCTGGGAGGCAGCAGATGATGGCCCAAGTCCTTGGGGCCCTGCCGCCCACGTGGGAGACTCGGATAGAGTTCCTAGTTCCTGGCTTCAGGCTGTTGTGGCCATCTGGGCAGTGAACCAATGGATGGAAGATTCTCTCTCTCCCTCTCTGCCTTTTAAATTAATAAATCTTTTTAATCAAATATTTACCTTAGAGCTTAATCCCATAAAGTCTCTTGTTTTGCAAATAGGGTTTCTACAGAAGTAGAGACATCTGTCCAGGATCGCACCGACAGTTAGTGGGGTAGCCAGGATTAGGGCCTCAGCCTCTGGAATCCCCAGGCTGGGAAGAAAAGGGCAAGAGAAATTATGGAAAGAATTTCCACATTGTCTGTGACAACTCATCGAGCGAGGGCTGGCTGTAAGCCTGAGGCACACCTGCAGTGTCCTGGTTGTGGGACTTTACAGCCTGAGGTCCCCCTTGCATGCCTCAAAATGACTGAAGACTCACAAGAACCTTTGTTCGTATAGGTTGTATCTAGAAATGTTTATTGCATCAGAATCCAACATCGGAGAGCCTAGCAGTGAAAGCGTTCGTCCCACATCAGAGTTCCTGGATTTGATTCCCAACTCCAGCTTCTCCCCAGTTCAGACCCTGGGAAGAAAAGTGATGATTCGAGTAATTGGGTCTCTGCTATAGCCAGGACTGTGCCAGGCTGAAGCCAGAAACTGAGGACTCACTCTGGGTCTCCCACATGGGTGACAGAGACTCAACTGCTTGAGCCATCGCCCACTGCCTCCTAGGTGGACGTCAGCAGGAAACTAGAATGGAGAACAGAGCTGGGACTTGAGCCCGGGACCCCACTGACCATGAAATGCAGGCATCGTGGCACTGGTTTACCTGCTATGCCTGCTCCTCCCAGATTCTTATGTTGAAACCCCCAAGGTAGGGACCAGCGTTGTGGCACAGAGGGTTAAACTGCCAATGGCAATGCAGGCAGCTTGAAGTACTTGGCCCCTGGCACCCACATGGGAGATCAGGATGGAGTTCCTGGCCCCCGGCTTCAGCTTGGCCCAACCTTGACTGTTGGGGCCATTTGTAGAGTGAACCAGCAGGTGGAAGATATCCCTTTTTGCTGTAGTTTTTCTTTTAAAATAAATAAATCTTTTGAAAAAAAAAAAGTTGGGGACAGCACCATGGTGCAGCAAGTTGAGCTGCTGTCTGCGGCACTAGCACCCCACGTGGGCACCTGTTCGAGTCCCGGCTGCTCTACTTCAGATCCAGCTCCCTGCTAAGGCACCTGGGAAAGCAGTGGAGGATGGTCCAAGTGCTTGAGCTTCTGCTACTCACATGGGAGACCGAGATGAAGCTCCAGGCTCCTGGCTTCAGCCTGGCCCGCCCCAGTCGTTGCAACCATTTGGGGATTGAACCAGCAGAAGAAAGATCTCTTTCTCTCTCTCTCTGTTTCTCCCTCTCTCACTGTAACTCTAACTTTCAGATAAATAAATAAATCTTTTTTTAAGTAAATTTAAAAAGAAACCTCCAATTGATGGTATTAAGAGGTGGGGGCCTTTGGGTGAGTAGGTCAGGAACACCCCCCCTTCATGAGTGGGATCATTGCTCTTCTGAATGAATGGAAGCCACAGGCAGGGCACCTCCTGTGAGGAACAGGCCCTCGCCAGACGCAGGGTCTGCTGGTGGCTTAATCTTGGACTTGCCAGCGCCAGAGCAGTGAGAAATGTTTCCGTTCTTTATAAATTACCGGGTCTAAGGTGTTTTGTTTTAGCAACCCAAGAGTTATTCTTGTGAGAAATAAAGATTATTTTTTAAATGATGAGAAGAATGGCTTTGCTTTATATCTTCGTGAAACTCTTTCATCCCTGTCTTCAGTGGAGACAGCTGGATTTTCTTGTTTCTGCATGTAGACCAAAAGCCCGCGTTCTGTAGCCTCTGGAGAACTCCAGTTTATTAGTGATAGAATGAGAGTGAAAAAGGCATTTTAACATTGTTATGAAAATGGTGGGACGCTGGCGCTGTGGCATAGTGGGTCCAGCCACTGCCTGCCGTGCTGGCATCCCATATGGGCACCGGTTCAAGCCCCAGAAGCTCCACTTCTGATTCAGCAGCCTACTAATGCACCTGGGAAAACAGTGGAAGATGGCCCGAGTGATTGGGCCCCTGCACCTATGTGGGAGACCTGGAAGAAGCTCCTGGCTCCTGGTTTTGGCCTGACCCAGCCCTGGCCATTGTGCGCATTTGGAGAGTGAACCAGCAGATGGAAGACTTCTCCTTCTCTGTAACTCTACCTTTCAAATGAATAAATAAATCTTTCAAAAAAAAGTTCTGATCTCACAGACCCCCTGAAAAGGTCTGGGGGTGCTCCCAGATTCTCAGACTACACGGGGAGCCCTGCTGGTGGGACCCCCCAGAACTCCCTTTGGTCTGCTTTAGCATATGAAGTGCCCATGAGACAAAAGGATCAACAACAAAGCTGGCAAGGGGACTGTTAGAAAGGTGACAGGATACACTCTGACCACTGTAGCAGACCAGAATCAAAATGAAATTTTATGTGGAATGTCTCACATTTGCATTTTGCTTTATTTTTAGGCAGTTGCACGTGTACTAGAGGCACAGGATGGGAAGAACCGGCCTGACAGCAGTTTGTATGAAAAAGATCTGGCAGTTTAGGTCAACCACAAGCTAAATATAAACCAACAGCTTGTAACGCCATGGCAAGAAGCATCCATAGCCTTGTAACCATTGAGCTGGGGCAAACAGGCAGGGCTGCTTGGAGGGAAGCTGTGGGGAGGAGAGAGCAGTTGCATTTCCTTTGCTCCAGCCCTGACCTGAGCATGCAAAAAAATTCAGAGTGGCTGGGAGGCGTGTAGCATTTGCACACTGCTAACCATGTGGTTTGATAAAGTTTAAACTCAAGAAAGCTGATCCACAAACAAATGTCCCCTTAAGCCTGACAGGTTTTTACAGCCCCAAGGACAAGGACATGCCCTCCTGCTGTATCCACCGCTCTGCTCCACAGCGCCCAGCCCCAGTCTGCAGCACGGGGTGGCAGGGGGCTCTTCTCTGGGTCCTGATCACTGCTCCCCCCCAGCCCAGCCGTTGGCTCTGGCCAGAGGCTTCCATCCAGGGAGCTTCTGCAAAACCCCTCTGGCTCCCGTCCTCAACATCACCCTTGGTCTCCTGGAGCTCAACTCTTCCCAGCCTGGTCTAGGTTCCGGCTCCTTCCTGCCTGTTACCAAGAGGGCATCTTCGTGCCCTTGTCGTTAGGTGGCTCCGTCCCTTCCTTCGTGGGACAAGAGACAAGTTTCTCCTGAAGTCGCCAAGGTTGGCCCAGATTGGACACACTTCCAGTAGGTGGTGGTTTCTCTTCCTCTGCTCCAGGCTGCACCAGTCTTGAGCCTGGCATTCCTGGCTGGGCCCTCCATGCCAGAGGATTGTCAACGGCCTGGAAATGTTCCAGAGCATGCTAGAGGTGGCACACAGGCTCTGGGGCCACACGTGGGCTCCAATTCCCTTGCTAGCTGCACAAGTTACTTAAACCCATGGAGCTCAGTTCCCCCGCATTTTTTTAAAAATATTTATTTATTTGAAAGGCATGTTGCCAGCGCCGCGGCTCAGTAGGCTAATCCTCCACCTTGCGACGCCGGCACCCCGGGTTCTAGTCCCGGTCGGGGCGCTGGATTCTGTCCCGGTTGCCCCTCTTCCGGGCCAGTTCTCTGCTGGGGCCAGGGAGTGCAGTGGAGGATGGCCCAAGTGCTTGGGCCCTGCACCCGCATGGGAGACCAGGATAAGTATCTGGCTCCTGCCATCAGATCAACGCGGTGCGCCAGCCACAGCACACTGGCCGTGGCCATTGGAGGGTGAACCAACGGTAAAGGAAGACCTTTCTCTCTCTCTCTCTCTCACTGTCCACTCTGCCTGTCAAAAAATAAAAATAAAATAAAAAGGCATGTTACTGGAACAACTGGGCCTGGACTGCTCGATGCTGGGCAGTCAATACCCCGGAGACGAGGGTCAGGGCAGGAGACAGCCCATTCGTTAGAGTTAGGGTGGCCCCAGGAGAGGTAGGCAGACTTTGTGGTCCCAATCACACTGTCGCCAGGCTGCAGGCAGCAGGAGACAGGGTCATTACAGGAGGTCAGGGAAGATAATGGGTCCTGAAATTCTTAGACAAACAGTCGAGTC